TTCACGTCGATGACACACCAATTCCGACGGTGAATAACCCCAAAATACTCGGAGTAACATTCGACAGCCTGCTCTCCTTCTCTGCGCACGCAACCGCTATTGTCAATAAAGTACAGAGCCGCAACAAGGTCCTCAAGTCGCTAGCCGGCAGTACTTGGGGCAAAGACAAAGAAACGTTGCTGGCAACATACAAGGCAATAGGCCGGCCGGTTTTGAACTACGCAGCGCCAGTGTGGTCGCCAGGGACTAGTAGGACGCAGTGGACGAAGCTACAGACTGTACAGAACACCGCACTCAGGACAGCGACAAGATGCCTCCTGATCTCGCCTGAACACCACCTACACGGCGAGGCGCAAATGCTCCCTGTAAAGGANACAGAGGAGCCCTCGCCTAGGCACGTCATGAACTGACGGACGAAGTCCAGAGGTTCATTAAGCAACCTCTGGACCCGACAACTTACCGACAGGCCCTGAACGGCATTCACAGGGACTCAGTCTCGAGTTATGTAGACTCTAGACCTGTGAATGCCGTTCTAGGCATACCACCCCCGGACATAGACGAGACGGAGCTTCATCTGCCTCTGGAGACACGCACAGCCCACTTGCACAACTTCGCTCCGGCTACTGAAGCAGGTTGAACTCCTACCTGAGTAGGTTGAATGAGGATGTGCCGAATGAGTGTCCGGCATGCGGAGAGGCCCCACATGACTCGAAACATCTCTTCGCATGCCCGGAAAACCCGACAACCCTAACGGCCTTGTCCCTGTGGACAAACCCCACAGAAGCTGCACGCTTCCTAGGGTTGCCGTTAGTGGAACTTGACGACAACGACTGAGATACCAACCGTCCTGGGCGGGGTTGTTGTAGCCGCTACAACAACAACAACGATGAAATTTTTTTTAATATTTTTTTTGTGGATTTTTTAAGCTTAAACTGTTTTCCCATCTGAGGGTATTTTTTACAAAAAATCCTTTAAGAAACTATTTTCATTTCTATAAAGCTCGAATTTTTTATGTATTCTCAAATAGATCCAGCTCACGTAAATATTCATATTTTTCCGAAATATTTTGGTAAGTCTTCAAATGTAAATTTTGTAATCCCGGCGGAAAACCAGAAACTTTTTCACTGAGGAAAAAATCAAAAATCTCATTATTATGATTACGATGAAATTTTTTTTAAGTATTTTTATGCGGATTTTTTAAGCTTAAAATGTTTGGGTACGGTTTAGTACGTTGCCTATCTATTTCGAGGTATTGCGTCCTAAAGGGTGACCCGAACCAAAAAAAATTTGCACACACTTGTAGGCAAGGGTCTAAACATTATTTTAACACCCTTTTTTGTAATTTTTGGTCACTAATTTATTTACAAATTGGGTTAGAAATATGCCCTTTTTTGTAAAATTCGGAAATTAGCGTAAATTTATCACTCCTACTCTCCTTAAAGCAGCTACTTCAGCAAAATATTTTTATATTCTCCTTCACTTTACACTTAACTCGATGAGTTATAACTTTCTTTATAACTTTAAAATTAACCAATTAATCACAATTTATTAAATAAAAACACCTTCTAAATCATGCGTCTGACTTTGGTGGCATATGCAAATTAAATGGCGTAGTTCAGCTTTCAAACTCCAAAATATGCAAAAGAATGAGAGACAAAAGAAAATAGGATATAACCCTGTAAGCATTAAAAATATACAAAGGTGTTCTCTGCAAAAGGTGTTCAGCT